AGGGACTATTTTAGCTTTTAACTCATACAGTCTATTTTCTAAGGTTGTTGCCAACTTAATAATTTTGTAAAATAAAGGATTCATTGAGTTTTAAGGTACCGTTCTGAAACATTAGTTTCAATTGTACATGTAGTATTAGGCATGTCAATTTCAAGTTTTTGTGTGTCATTAAAGCTGTTATCTATATAAATATTCCTCCTTAATAAATTCTCTTAAGCTCTTGTTCTTAATGCCGTGTAATCTGCAGGTTTAATAGCGTCTTTTGATTTTTACCATCCATTTAAATTAAGTTGCTACAGCCAAAATAGCTTTTTCTGTGTTGCTGTGTCTTTCTTTGTTCAACCATAAATAGCCAATAAACGTCCGTCAACCAACAACCTGATGACCTGAAGTGTGGAGCATTCAGTATAGAGCAAGTCAGTGAAATGAACTTCATGAAATGTATGATATCAAGCTGACAAATTGACAACAATTTATTTTTACAAGAAGCAATTTGTATACAAGTCGTACGGACTGGCGGCAAAGATGTTAAAAAGCACTTACAGCATAATCTATTTAAAATTTATCCCGTTTTATGTTAGTTAGAAAATAAGATGAATGTATGTTGTTAATTTTTCTATAATTTGTCAAAGTATCCTTAGCCGGACAAATAATAATACGGTTGCGATTTGTAGGGTTAATAAACTGTTTGCGTTTTTTCAGCTTCAATGGTCGTCGATTGCATTTACTCTTCAATTGACTACCAACGAACAAAGGAAATTCGAAGAGAAGAAAGTAAAAAACTTCCATAACACTGATAAGAGAGCATCCCATAAATAAACCAGCAATACCTCCAAAAGCCGCTACAACAAGTATTATATAATAAATGTGTGTAATAGGCTTAATTAAGTTAATGTTTTCTAATTACGTACATATTAAATCCATCCAACCGAATACCAAATGAGTTGAATAGACCATCATTGTATCGAAACGGAAATGCACGTCTAAATCAATGTATGACTTATTGCCACGTATATCCGTTGGCAAAAACGTTGTACGCATTTCCGTTATAAAATTTAAAGAATAACAATTGCGAAAACATTCACATAACATACTTTTGCCATAATTATCGGGCACATATTGTAGTTCTTCAGGGTCTTGAGTGTAAAGGAAATATTCTAAACAGTAATATTATTAATACTCTTAATAAAAATAATCGGAAGCCACTGTTTGTAGCGACTTTTTATTTAATTACCATAGTGTTGTGACAGACATAATAACCCTTTCAAATCACATATAGGATAGCTTCCTAAGAGAAATAAGCTTAATTATTAGAGAAATTTGGAAAGAAATAGTAATTAATTAACCTGTTGGAAAGAATATGTCTACAGTGCATTCACAATGTTTTAGTAAATATTCTTGATTGCACTGCGATATACAATTTTCCATCATATACACTTCACCGGGCAAAGTCTTGAATCCATAGCTCGAAGGTTCATCCTAGAGCAGAGGTAAATATTTTAACTGAGTTAACGAAAGTAATTCAGTTTTTAGTTCAAATTGTATTTTTTAATAAGCGTTAACAGCACACTCGAAGAACGCTTTGGTAACGAAGAAAGAGTACAATGGATTCAAAAAAGAATTTGATGTGTCATTTTAAGGAGACTTCTCTTGCAAAGGCTTTAAGGAAACGTATTATGAAAGGTATTGGAAAAGGTGATTTAGATCAAATGGAACTTAAGGAAGTAATGTTAGCTTCAGCGACTGTACTAACAGTTGCTTCAACACTCTTGTCGGTATATATCTAACGTTACAGAATATTTACATTACGTCGTGGGTAAATGATGAAAAACTTCCGATTGACCATGGATAAGGTAATACTTTGAGTTTGGTAGAATTAGGAACAAATCGTGCACCATGAGCCGCTCCAACATGGTCTGACGATTGAGTCCACTCTCCTCAACAGATACAACTGACGGTTTAAACGGTGCAATTGAGGTGAAGCGTCCCGAATGAATCATTACGAAAGGCGTCGCTTTCCACAATGATTCGGCAGGCTTTAAAATTAAACTTTGATGGGGCCGTTTTGGCGCATCCCGCGGGCAGTTTATGTCTTGGCTCGTTACGTCACTACTTGCTTCGCTTTCTTTTGAAATTTCCTCATGGTGTAAAGTTGACTTTAAACAAGATTGGTGAAAATCGCTTGGTGTAGAGTATTCCCCAAAAAACCAAAAAAGTTATGCGGCGATGCCAAATATTTTTTAAAAAAATAACAGAATCTTACTGGTTAAATCGGCTCGTACTTTGTTTAATAACAATTATTTAAAATGCAGGAAAAAATTGACTGAATTGTAATGAAAAATACGCTACAGAGCTTTAACTTTAGTTAGTAAGACATTGCATTAAAGAAAGTTGCGGCTTTTTATTAAAATTCTATCCTCACTGCATATAATCTTTCCAAACAATAAACTGCTGTTGTTTCAGGGACGTCTAATCTCTCGATATGGGCGGCTGCTTGGTTAATTCAAAAAAATGCGATTACCAGGAAGGTGTCGTGAAAAATTTGGAATTGAGTAACTGAAGCATCAAATGCAAGAGCAACTTCACCGTTTTAATAATTCTACCATTCAAACAAAACAGGAATGTTTCGAAAGCTTCTAAAGAAAATTGCTCGATTTACTGTTTAAAGGTGAGAAGCATTTCAAAACGATTTATCACAAATGTAAAAAAAAGAAACGTTTTTCGACGGAAATTAAATACTCTTCGCTAAATAATAATAAATATGCTTAACTGCAAAAAAATGATTGTTGAAAATATTTATATCAATGGTGACGTCGAATTTGGAAATTTAGAGCTTCCCAATAGCAAGAGAATTATCACCAGCACTAACTGATGCGTTCCATCCAATTAATAAAAGAAAAACGGGCGAAATCTAATTTTTCACCAGATCTCTTCAAAAAAGAACAAATGAACGTTTTGCTACAGGCGCTGGTCACCTTAGAGCCTCTTTTTATCATTTGTAACGACCGATGTAATAACTGATAAATTCGTTTTTGTCTTATTTACCGAATATACACATTTTCTTTCCTGGGTTTTTAAACGTTTGGTGTCATTTTCATAGAAAAATATAACCGGATCCACTTCGATAATTGCATTTGTGTTGGTGGGAACAGGTAAAGGCTTCTTATGCCATACATGAGGTTCTGCTATCATAACCTTTATAAAGAATTTATTTTATTATATTGTCATAATATTGCTTTTAACAATTCGATCACCTTAATTCCTTTAGGTTTTCCATTTCCTGGATAAATATTTTCTGGATTTATCAGTACTCTCAACTTTAAGCCACTTTTCATGCCAGAATTTCCTGTACGCAAAGGCCAGTTGGGATCTTTCAATTGTCTCTCTCTGGCCGCCTCCGTTTCTAAAGTGTTAAAACTCCAGCAATAACCAATTTGACTACGTCGCTGGAAAAAGTAATCGCAGCAGTTAATATCATTATTACGCCATTTGCAGTCCGTCAAGAGCTCCTCACAAGACCAGCTCATGTATTCATAAACTAATGAAAAGTTAATATGACTTAAAGCATGTATTGGTCGATTTTGCAAAATTTGAAACACTTGAAATTGACCAAATTGGAAGGTGTCGTAAGCAGTAATAATCAGTTCAAAGAGTTTTGATATTTCGGTATTATTTTCTTGTGGTAAAAACATGCTTTTGGCTGCTTCTAAACGTTGCCAATTCAATTGGTTGCGATTGCAAATCGATACCACAGGAAAACTTATTTGATATACAGGATATCGAGTACTATTAATAACAGTCTCCATATTGCCAGCATCAAAGCGATCCTTAAGACGAAGGCATACGTGTACCGTTCCGAAGAAAGCCAGCGAAAGTACAAGAAACCAAATGAATCTGAAAACAAGAAAATTTTCACATATTAACAAAGAGTTTCAAAAGAGTTTCTCACCTTTCACAATTGTGGCTTTCGCGTTCTCCCAACTTGCTTAAACCAGGTATAGTAGATTTATTCGCAAACCGATAGAACAAGTCTGCAAAGGTTTCTCTATATTCGCTAGAGTTTCCATTCTTAGTAACCAAGGGACGTTTTAGCAAATCCAACGATAAACGCTTCGAAAGCATTCTGTGTGCAGCTGCAAGTAAGTTTTGTTAGAAACTGACCTTTACATTAAAATTTTGTTAATTTAACTAGATACCATTGTGGTTATTTACTTCTTTACAAATTGGTATAAAATTTTGCATCTAAATTATGAGAGCTGATAGAAAACGAAATATCTCTTAAATGCAGAGTGTTAATGCACTTCAGTTTTGTTGACAAAAAAGGTAATAAATATCGCGTGTGTGCGGATAATAACCATTTAAAATTCAGATTTGCAAACTTGTAAAATGATAACAATCAACCGTACTAACGACTGTGTAGAAAAGTAGAGGACTTTGAAAAGAATATAAGTTCAACTATATTTTTTTGTTTAACTATTTTTGATAACATTTCCCAAATTTGTTACAAAGTGCGAATACAAAGGCGGGTCTAATCTCTTTCATTTTCTTTTTTTTTTTGTCTACTTTACCAGCAACAGGCAATTGCTCAGAAAACGACTCGTGTGGGATCTGAACTAACGATCTGATCAACCAGAGTCTGAATTCAGATTCGCAAACATAATGATCGTGTTTACATCTGAAAAACGGAAATGATGCTTCAAATTGCTTATCAGTAGTGTCAGAAGTTATTTTACTTATTTTCTCGCTCGAACAAACTACTCAATGCCTTATGCAGCAACTGTTGAGCTCTTTCCACCATTCCTATGGCAAACAATGCGTTAGCAGCGGAACGCCACGCCTCTGACACAGATTTGAATTTCTTTGTTATGACGCTAATGAACAGTTAAATTATCTAATTGCCCATTAACACTAAACGTACCACGCGCGGTCAAAAGACCGTTTTTAAACTTTCGTTTAAAATTTATCGCATAAAACTTTATTGTATCATCATGTATCTTATTGACTTTTCCTAAAATATACATACAAACTATTTTTCAATATTTACAACTTTTTTTAATGTGTATTTTCCGAAAAAAAATTATACCACGTCTAGTCTACCAGGCGCGGTCATTTGACCGCTTGAAAAATTTATGTTATTTACGACTACATTTTTCGCTCGCGTTCTTGAAATTGTTTTAGGAGTCTGCAATGTAATTGTAGACTGGAATCTAATCAATGTGTCTGCAATGCAGACGGTTAGGACGGTTAGACGGATGCGGTTCGAATTTTTTAGGTTGTTATTGGAACAAAGAACATACTGTTTTTTGTACGACAGTAAGGTCTTGCGATACGAACAGAGAGCATCAAAATTTCAGTGTGTAATAGAAATTATAATTATATTATAAGAAAAATTATTACGTGGTATAAGTGATAGTTTCGACAAAGTCAACAGAGCCAACAATATTTTGTGGTATGATTTACAATTTGTTTTTTATTTCTGGTCTCAATGTTTGATTTATATTTTTATATTTTAGTTTTTACTTTATCATTTGTATATTCACCCCCAAAATGTCAAGACATTCGAGGAATATCAATTTATTAGACAAAATAAATAATATCGACTAGGATTGTTCGGAAGATGATCAAGAAGTTTACGATACTGATGATGAAAATGAAAAATTGAAAAACAGAAAAGAAAGAGATTCATAGTTAGTTCCGAAAGTGAAAATGAGGAAGAGATTGAAACTGCTATGGACGGAACTGTTTGAAAAAAAATAAATGAAGGGTCTAACAGTGGAAGAACATCGTTTTATAATATTTTCAAGGAAACATCAGGACCGACAGGATACACTAAACGAAATAAAGGGCAGAGCATTTTCAGCATTTTCCTACAAAAGCACGTTGTAGATTTACTCAATATATGCCCAACAAACCGGACAAATTTGGCATAAAATTCTGGCTGGCTTCCGATGTAACTAGTCAATATATAGTAAACGGCTTTCCATATTTGGGAAAAGATGAAGGGAGAGAATCATCAATCCCACTTGGAGAGTTCGTAACTTTGAAATTAGCAGAACCATATACGGGCCATGGGAGAAATATAGCAGTTGACAATTTTTTTACAAGCGTGTCATTAGCGAGTAAACTTCTATCAAAAAGAACTACTCTTGTTGGAACTATCCGGAGAAATAAAAGAGAGCTACCAAAATTAGCGAGACAGGCAAAGGATAGTATGACACGCTTCTCAACAATATTATACAAATCGAAAGACTTTATTCTTACAATTTATAAAGCTAAACCCAATCAAAAAGTATCGATACTTAATTCAATGCATTTATCCGTTGATATTGGAAAAAAAGACACCCGTATACCAGAGACAGTTGGAGTTTATAATAGTACGAAATTCGGTGTAGATGTAACCGACCAAATGGCCAGAAAATATAATGTAAAATCTAAATCTCAAAGATGGCCTTTACAGGTCTTTTTCAATATCTTAGATTTAGCTGGGATAAACTCTTGGATTTTATATAAAGAAGCGACGGGTGAGGAAATATCGAGGCAAGAGTTTTTATTTCAGTTGGCAGAAGAACTTGGGACCGAATATCAGAAGGAGAAACAGATAAGCCAAGAATGCTCATCAAAAACAATAATAAACACAAACACTGCTTCTTCTGAGCGGAGATCTTGTCAAATAAGATATTGTAAAGTCAACAAAACAAACAAAATTTGTATAAAATGTAAAAAATACGTATGTGGAAAATGTGCAATACAAAATACTGTAATTTGTAAAAAATGTGATGAAAATGCATAAAAGTAAATAAAACATACAACATCGAAAAGCGGGGAACGAGTTTCTATTGTAGCATCAGAAAAATATTTTGTTCACTATCTACTTTACATATGTTTTTTTGACGTTCAGAAATGAGAACATTGAACACGTATGTGATAAATCGTTTTCTACGTTTAAGATAGATACTTGGTACTTCTTCCACCTGGCCTTCAATTTGATAATCTGTGTTATTAATTAAAAAGTAGTTATCTCTTGTTTTGTAACGGTTTATTAACATTAAAACGCGCCGTTTATTAACATTAAGTGCTTAACGTGTTTAATTGCATTTTGAAATTTTTGATTAATCTTGCACAATTGGGTTTGGTGAGGTTCTTAAAGCAATCCAACTTAATGTCCAATAGAAACCACCTGCAAATGTTTATAACTGAATGGTTGTTTAATTCAAAGGGAGATGTGAAATGTAGGAAAAACGTATGAATTCAAAAGGAGGTGTGAAAAAATATAGGAAAAACATATGAATTCAAAAGGGGATGTGAAAGAAATATAGGAAAAACATATGAGTTCAAAAGGAGGTGTGAAAAAATGTAGAAAATGGTTTACAATTCAAAAGGAGATGTGAAAGAAATATAGGAAAGCCATATGAATTCAAAAGTAGATGTGAGAGAAGTATAGGAAAAGCATATGAATTCAAAAGGAGGTGTGAAAAAATATAGAAAATTGTTTACAAATCAAAAGGAGGTGTGAAAGAAATATAGGAAAGCCATATGAATTCAAAAGGGGATGTGAAAGAAATATAGGAAAAACATATGAATGCAAAAGGAGATGTGAAAGAAATATAGTAAATTGTTTATAATTCAAAAAGGGATGTGAAAAAAATATAGAAAACTGTTTACAACTCAAAAGGAGGTGTTTTTTATGTCTATTCCTGCTGCTTATTCGCGTTATGCCGTAATTTATTGTTTTCTTTATGCTTATATTTTTCTGAACTATGTGTCCTAAAAACTTGAGAAATTCATAGTTGTCACTGGCATAATTAATACTTCAGAGCTCTGGAGGACAATACATGAAAAGTGAAGAAGCAGAGATGTCATAAAAATGAGCTAGCGCTTGGTGGAATGCTTAAAGTTTTCCACTTTTCAATTATAGTATGTAAATAGAAGAAATAGTACATCAATGAAAAATTCGTGAAACTAAATAAAAAAAAAATCTCTTTTATAAATCCTCATTAATCGCCAGCGAACAGATCTGAAGACTTCTGTGCGTGCGGACACAATTCGGGCTTTAGTGAATACAACGTCAGCATCAGTAACATGCTGTCTTGTTTGTGCTACTGTGAATAGGAGCATTGTCTAATTGGAAAAGTTTTTTAATGCGCAGATCTTCATGTCAAATGGTGAACTTATTGCATTTTTCTATGTTTAGGATCTCTCGTGATTTCACTTTTCGATTACTTTCTGGAAAAACTTTGACGAAATTTTTACGTTTCCTGGTATGACCTAGTTGACCGTTTCAGTAAGGCCCGCGTTTGTATGATAACGTTTAAAATTAGCAAATCAGCGACGAATCTTGCGTACTACTTTTCAAGCCAATGCTGAGTTTAAATGGTACACGAACGTGACTTGTTGAAAGGCGTCGTTTAATGGTGGCTCATTCTAACAATAATGTGGATATTTTGTTTAAAGATAACATATGTGTGCCAACTCTCGAAAATATTGATCGATTTGTTATAAAGAGCGTCTTCACTTTACCTCCCTCAAGCAAGGGGCATATTTTTCTTTAACCAGGTTAGGTTCATATTGACGGGAAATTTTTAGTGCAAAATAGAGACGGTTCTTCGGTTGTTACTTCTAACACGCTATGCTAGATTTGATTTGATCATGTTTGATATATTGGTGAAATGGAAGACGAAAGATTTTAGTTTTACCATATTGATGCCATATTGAATCGAAAAGCCAATTGTTCGATCCTATAACCGCACAACATGAGGCACATTTGGTTATCACATTAGGTGAAATTTCTAAACATGTCATTAGGCTTGCTTCTAATTCTGATTCTCAACAGCAACAGCACCCGAATCAACACTACATAGCGAAAGTTACATCAAGTAATCACAAATAAGCTAATTTAGAAAAGTCTGTACCAAGCAATCACGATAATCGAAACGAAATAGAAGCGTTTCCACATTTCATATAATAGTATCGCTACACGCGAAATAAACTTAGAAATCATATACTTGAATATTTCTTAATGTAGTTACTCATGTAGCTTAAGTTTAAAGCTTATTCGTATAAAATAAATTCATATTGACAAAGAGTCAATTTTCATGAGAATGTAATTATAATAAATGGACTTA